CAGGTAGACAAATTCCTGGGGGGGTTTTTGGTTGTTTTTTTGTTCTTCAGTCTAGTTGTGGAGGACGTGGCTTCACTGGCCCATGTTGGTATGATTATTGCACTCTTCTCAGGTGAGGCAATCGGTCGCTGGTCATTGGTCGGTCGCTCACAGCGGCTGCCGGCCACTCATGCTGGCTGCCAGCCACTCACGTAGCTCACAGCAGCCTACTGCAGCCCTGCTGCAGCCTACGCTGTCGCCGGGGCGGCTCACAGCAGCCCAGCTCCAGGTCGAGCTATTGTTCATCATCTTAGCTGTAGAGGGCGAGCGTCACTGGCCCTCAATGTGGGATCCAAACCGCAGCCCTGCTGCTCAGCGCTGGTGATCCCAAGCAAGCTCTTAACCAGCTGAGCCACTCGGCTGGCCCCTGACACAATTTTTAAAGGAGAAAATCTCTTTCATATGCAATTCAGTATAAGACAGTGTTGCCATCAGTTTAAAATGCAAGGAACTACTTTTATCAGCCTGGCACACAATTTCACATTATAGCCATACACTCAGTTGTTTAACAGGAACTGCATACCTTGTGCTTCATATCTAGCTTTTCAAAATGATACTAGTCTTCTGAATCAATTTCCTTTACTGTCTCATATTCCTTTGGTAAAGATTGTTCCAATCTGTCCCATTTTTGTAGCCAAATTTCTCAGCTTTTCTTTAAGATCCAAAATTTCCTATTGAGACTTGTTTATATCCTAGTTCACAATAGTGTCTCAAAGTAAAATCAGGCTCATTCCAGATTGTACAACAAAAGTTTCTATGAACAGACAAGCAACCCTTGAAGCCACAGGGGCTGGGTTTGCAGTTCCTTTGGAAGGGTTAAGTAATTGCAAAAATGGCACATTTATGAACATTTGTTCTAAAATTTTCATTTGATGTCATAGGTTGATTACATACATTTTATCCACTTGTTTTCTCCTTAAATCATGTACTTACAATGGGCATGAAATTTTCTAGCTTAATCATCAATAGTTGTGGCTCTGAATACCTTCATTTTCCAGTGAAAATACCCTTGAAAATTCCACCCTTGAAAATAATAATAAGATCTCTTGACTGCCTCTAAATTTTTTATTCCTGGAACTAGTTTCTAGGTACAAAATACCATAATATATTCTTGCTACTTGTCTTCAGATACTTTCAACATGGTATAGTTCTTTTTTTTTTTAATTTTCTAAATAATCACATAGTTAAGTGTGGTTCCACAGTCTAATGGCTTATTTAATGTCCTACCTTTGAAACTGGTTATTTAAACCCAAGTTTTCAGTGTGAGAACATATTCTACTCACGAATTTTCATTAGTTTGATAAATAGAATACTAAATACTCACCTGAAATCTCTAGCTTTGGAGCATCATTTTATTTCCTGGCTAAAGTGTGAGAGGCAGTCCCTGCAATGTTCTCAGCAAATCTCCATTCTTCTCTGTAATTCTAAACAATGCAGCAAAGGAATGCCCAAATCTGAAAAGTGAAGTAGACTTTTTCTCAGACTCCCATTTACATTTATCTTCAAGTTAAAAACATATATATGAATTCTTTAAATACTTGATCAAGAGCAATGTCAAGAAAGCAGAGCTAGATTGTGGGCAGGAGTTATGCCTAATTTATCTTCTACATACCTCCTCCCCCCACCAGAGTCTAGGAATACTTGAACATGTTCTTGGCTTTATCATTAAAGAACATTTAAGGAGTGTTGTATTTTGCATACAACATAGCATGAGATGAACAACACTGATGAAGAGACAGGCTTATAAAGGCCAAGCATTCCACAGACAAACAAAATTATACTAGGTATTAGCACTGTGGGGGTGGTCAGAAATTCATTCTTTCAAGTAAGTGCCCCTGTAACCAAGCACTGAAATAAGTAACTTGGGGTCATTAAAGAAGCACCTCCTTAAATAAAAATCCAAACAAATTAAGGTTTTAAAAAGGATTCTGTACTATTTATCAGCAATAAAGACATACACTAAAAAAATGAATTGATATTATCAACAACATATATGAATCTCCAAATTAATTATGCTGAGTGAAAGAAGCCAAAAAGGAGTACATCTTTATTTGATTCCATTTATATAAAATTCTAGAAAGTGCAAACAAATCTATAGTGACAGAAAGCAGATCAGTGGATGGGAGGGGCCAGAGAGAGGAATTACAATGGGGATGTGAACACTTACAAAGTGAACACTTAGGGGATGATGCATATGTTCACTATCTTGATTGTGGTAATGGTTTCACAGATATATAGTTATGTTAAAACTTAATGAACTGTATACTTTAAGTATTGTATGCCAAAATATCTCAATAAAGCTGTTTTTTTAAAAAATCCAGTACAAAAAGTGGGGTGAGTAGGAATGGGGAGAAAGAGAATGAATTCTAGGGCCTATCTTGCAATTCTTTTTTGCTCAGGGACAACAGATGGTGTCTGATTGTAAGATCCTGTCTCAGCATTTTGCTGCAGTTTTAACTGCCAGAATGGTCTATCAGCTCAGCTCTCTAGTCTTACATAGAACTGGCCTATTAAGTCTATCATTTCAGCTGGTCCAGTCTCCTTTCAGACCCAGAATGCAACTTGGACTCCCCTTCTCTGCCTCCACTTGCTGGGATGTTTCTTCCATTCAAAATGATCCAAATTTTCTCTCCTTTTAGGCCCAGCTAAGATAAGATTTATTTTGTAGTTTTTCCTATCCATTCCTGCAGGAAGAATTCTGTACCTTCTTGGAGTTTTTATAATCTAAATTGCACTTTTGACACCTTTTTTGCTGCTTTGTATTATTTGCTTTTCATGTGCATGTCTTATTTTCTCAACTAGATTATGAACTTTTTCAGGTCTGGGACTGGGTCATATTTATCTTTGTGTCTCTCCCAAGGCACTTAATAAGTGCTTAATAAGTGTCAATTTTAAAACACCTCAGTTTGATTGTCTTTCCAAAGTACTTTCTCAGCCATTATCTCATTTGATCATTACATCAACACTATGAGATTGGAGGAGCTAAAAATATGTATTTCCTCCTTTTGACAGATAAGGAGCCTGCAGCCCAAGGTCATACAGTTTGTCAGAGACAGAGAGGGAACAGGTAGTTGCATATGAAAGTTTGATCCAATTCAAGGCTTCCCACGGCTCTTCTCTCTACCCTCCTACCTGAAGACAAGCCATTGCACCCTTCACCTCCTCATTCCCCAAGTACTTTAGAGCTACTTAGCCAAAGCTTTGTAGCACCATATTAGAAAAGTTGACAAATATAAGACTGAAATTTCAATAGATTCCTGATCAGCTCTGAGTCACCAAAACATGTTTGCTACTTTTTCCAAGTGCCATTTGTTAGGGACATTATGCTTGATATTCAATGATGAGAAAGCATAAATGATTTTTAAAAGCCTTTGAAAATGACAGTACTTTAATATTAAGCATGAAGGGTGGCAGCTGATGAGATGACCAAGGATATAAAATTTCTGCACTGGATCACACTATTCCTCTATGTATTGTTAGAATAATTCTCTAGTTGGCACTAAAAAAAGGTTAAACTCTACCACTCAGCACACCTAGCCTGAGATTCCTTCCCTACCAACCCAGACTATCAGCTTCTTCTCTGATGCAAGAGATTTGATAAACTTGGTGCAATTTACTTAGCATCAAATATTATTTTTGAAATAATTCTAATGAATAGATTCCAGTCAACTTTGAAAAGAGGATGGAGGCGGGGGCCAGCCGAGTAGCTTAGTTGGTTAAGAGCTCACTCAAGAGTTTGAGCTCTGAGCAACAGCGAGCGGTTCCATGCCTGACCTGAGCTGAGCTGCCAACAGGTGGCAGGATGGCTCAGCTAAAAAAAAAAAAAAAAGAGGATGGAGCTGGGGTTTAAGACAGAGAGGTGGAGGGACCCCCTTGAGAGTAACAATAAACTTTGGTCCAAGTCCATAGCCAACCAGAGGTCAAGCCCATGAAGGAAGTTAGGGGATTTGTCCCCCACCTCCCATCATTGTCTTCTCTCCCTCCAACCTCCTGCTGGGCTCTCCCATTGGCAGAAACCAATCAGGGAATATGGGAACCCTGAAGTCCCTACAGATAGTCCTTACTGGCTGCAAATGGTGTTGAATGTGGATCTGATGGTCAAATGGAAGACATGCAGTTCATTGGTCTAGGGCTAGGCAGGTGACTCAGTGTGGCCAGTGAGATATATTGGGAGTCTGCCGGAGTCCTTCTGGGAAAGATCCCCACCCCCCACCCCGTACTGTTATAGGAAGAAAGCGCTTCTTCCGTCTTGCTTGGGATGCATTGAAAGGATGTACTTCTTGGACTTCTGAAGCCACCTTGTGACTATAAGGGGACTGCAAAGAGAATTGCAGAGAACCTTGAACCAACAGAGTTACGAAAAAGCCTTGGGACCCCAGCTCCAGACTTCTTGTTAAGCGAGCAATAAATATCCACATAGTTTAAAAAGAGAGGTGAATGATTTATGAGCGATAAAGGAGAGGGCAGAGGAGCCTGGAGGGGGAAATTCGAGGAAGCCGACCCTAGGGACCGGGCTGGCGTGCAGCGAGCGCCTGAGACTCTCCGGCGGGGGATGTGCGATAGGTCTGGGAAGGTTCAGGGGGCCGTTGGGTCAGGTTTCGAGTCTGAACAAGTCACTTCTTTGCGCCTTAGTTTTCCCCCTTTGTAAAATGGGTGTGATAGTAACTTCCTGTAGGACGCTGTAAGAAATGAGGCGAAGCAAAGCAAGCGAAACGCTCGGCATAGTGCTTGACTCATCGTAGGCCGTCAATAAAAGTTGGCAGTCAATACCATTTTCTCAATGTTTGCCTTTAACAAGGGGCAGGTACCCAGGAGAAAGGGCAAGGAAGATTTCCATAGACCGCTCCCTACTCCAGCGCGGATGCCAAAACTCAGATTCTATGGCGGTTGGCGTCCAAGGGCGCGTATTAGGCGAGGGGCGGGGCCTACAGTTCCCGCCTCGAGCGTGGCCCCACCCCCTCCTCCCTCCCACGCGGCCTCTGCTGCTCTTACGGCTCTTTCCCCTCCCCTGACCTTCCCTTGCTGTTTTCCCAGGCCTAGCTTTCCCCCACCCCTACGCCGGGCTGTAGTGAGAAGTTCCGGAGCCTCGGCGCGGGCCTGGGGCCGGGGGCCGGGTGTTGACCCTGCCTGCCAGCCTGCTCCGCACTGCCTCGGGAGCTTCCGCGGCCCCATGGTGTGCAGGTTTGCTTCACAGGGTCCGCGGGGGGCGCTGCGGGGAAGAGGATGTGGGCGGGGGTGTGGGGGATGTGGGTGTGTGTGTGTCAATCTGGCCAGTCCCCGGTCTCCGGCCGCCGAGACCTCCCTCGCCCTTGGGAATCCTTGGCTGCCCAGACGGAAGGGAAGTAGGCGCCTGAGAGCCCGCTCTGCATATTGATTCATCTTGGGCCCTGTAAGGGTCACATCTTGTGAAAATACCTGTATAAAATCAATTTAACGTTCAGTGCAGCGTGTAAAGACAGCTCTAGGAATATAAAAGACGGCCTGAGTCAAAACATTTAAATGCTTGGGTCCCTGTAGCAGCGTTTTAACACGTCTGAGTGCGGAAGGTGGAGAATGGAACCTGATTGCCGCCACCGTTCACGCCCTCTAACATTTAAAAAGGGTAAAGAAAAGCACCCTAAAAAACCCCCAAGTGGGTAATTCCCCTAGGGAGGGAAGAACAGCTGACTTTTTTGAAATTTAGGGTGGTCCTCATTTTTGTGTGTGAAATTTGCCTGCAAATAATAGTCCAACAATAAACAACTGCTAAAACACTGAGCGTAACTAAGTAGTGGTTTTTGTTGACAGGTAGATTGTGTTAATTCTTAATGTCTCTGCAAGGCAGGAATCGTTATCTCAGTTTTGCAGGTGGAAAAAATTTGGCACCAAAAAAACCACACATTTTCTTTAAATTCACACAGAATACGGCCGAGCTGCAAATTAAGTCCTAGCATTCTGACTCCTCAGCTGGGTTCCCCTCTAGATTATGTTACAAAACAAATGAATAGTTACTTTGATATTACTCATAAAATGAAGAAGCAAACCAAATATTTTGTGCACATGAAGTGTTAAGTCATAATAACCTTCTATGTCTGTTCTGCTTTGGGAGGCTCAGTTGCCCTTTGGAGTTTGATACCTTAGAGGAGGGGATGGAGCAGAAAAATGGAAGATAATGTCAAGGGAAAATTTTTGTCTCCAGAGCCCAAACTGTGCCCATCTTTCCTGTCCCTTTTTGTTGATGTCATTCTTTTCAGTGTACTTCATGTTCTGGCAAAACACCCCACAGTCGCATTAACTACACTTTGCATTACTCTTGTGGCACTGACCTTTCTGTCAGTATTTTTTTTTTTAAGATTTTATTGGGGAATTAGGGGAGGAGAACGGCGTTGGGGAGTCAGGGCAGGGGAACAGAGAAGTTGCTGTCCTTTTGTTCATCAGTCTAGTTGTGGAGGATGTCACTTCACTGGCCTATGTTGGTATTATCATTGCGCTCTTCCAGGTGAGGCAGTCGTTCACCGGCCATTGGACGGCTTCTCACGGCAGCTCACCACAACTCATGAAAGCTCACGCTGGCTGCCTGCCAGTCCCACTGCAGCCTACGCGGACTCACGGCAGCCCAGCTCCAGGTCGAGCTGTTGTTCACCATCTTAGCTGTAGATGGCCCTCATGTGGGATCCGAACTGGGGTCCTGCTGCTCAGAGCTGGCATCCCAAGCCAACTCTTAACCAACACGCCACTCAGCTAGCCCAAAGATGTTGTTGTTTTTTTTTTTTTTTTAGCTGAGCCATCCTGTCACCTGTTGGCAGCTCAGTAGCAGCTTAGCTCGGCTGGGAATCGAACTGGCGACCGTGTTGCTCAGAGCTCACCCTCTTGAGCGAGCTCTTAACCAACTGAGCCACTCGGCCGGCCCTCAATCAGTATTCTTGTCATGCTCTTTCCTCTAGGTGCTCTTTACTAATGCTCATGTGAGAACCAGTTGTTGTTCAAGTGTAGAATGAACACTTGAACTCCTAAAGGATGTTTCTGGAGTTAGTGGTCAAAAACTACTAACAGATCATATATGTATGTGTGTGTGTGTGTATATATATATATATGTATTTTTTTTTTCCTCGTTCTCTTTTTTTTAATTGGGGAACTGTGTTTTTCCAGGACCCATCAGATCCAAGTCAAGTAGTTGTTTCAATCTAGTTGTGGAGGGCACATCTTAGTGGCCTATGTGGGAATTGAACTGGCAACCCTGGTGTTATGAACACTGCTCTAACCAACTGAGCTAACCAGCCGCCCCCACCAACAGATCTTAGATGAAAGGACAAGTTAAAGAAGTGCAAGAAACTATTGTGGAGTTAAATAGCTAAGTGACTGGGGGGTGGGGAAAGTAGACTTTGAATTATTTTTTCCCTTTCCCCAATTCATAACCAGAAAGTAGCAGCTCAGTTTTAACTTAGACATCATGGTGGGGAGAGGGGGCATTCTGTTTAAACTAGTGAATTGTAAAGTTTTCTTTCCTAAGTAGGCTCCTTTTTAGACAGCTTGTAACAAGTGGAAACATTTATGTCGGTAAAATGCAAAATGTTTTGCCACTGATAAGTCTGTCCATAAAACTTGTATAAGAGCTTGAGACCACAGTCCCTCCCTGTGAGAGGCATCCCTGAGGTTCCTCACCAAGTGTAAACAACAGAAATTTGAATCTAAGGTAGTTTTCTCTGGAACAGACAGCCAATTTATTCATCTTTTCTTTTGCTTGATTCCACAGATAAGAATCCCAAGAAAATCAGATGGCATCCGGGGATTTCTGCTCACCTGGAGAAGGGATGGAAATACTCCAGCAAGGTAAGGATAGTCATTTGCAAGAGTTTTGATGGCTTATCAAGAGAGGGCTAATCCAGATTCTTAAATTCTATAATAAAAGGGATTTATAATGTTCACCAGTATGGTTTCTTTCACAGAAGCCTACATTTATAGGGAAATTAGAACACATGAAGATTCTTAAACACTATCTTATTGGAAAACAGGTTATATTGACTCCTGTTCAATATCTACTTGTGCAATAGACTAAAAACTCAAGATGCTCCCATGCTGTGTGAGCAAGCATATCCTGAAGATAAGGGTGGCTAGCAAACTCCTTAAAGACTTCTTTCCTACCCTTGTCTTGAATTTTCTCATATCTTGTTCTCAAAATCTCAGATCCTTCCACATCTTAAATTCTTTCCATATCTCAAGTCCTTTCTATATCTTAAATCCTTCAATAATGTTAAATCCTTCAAGAACTTGAATCTTCTATATTTTGACCATTTCCACATTGATCCTTTAGTGCCTTGGGAGGAAAAAACAGATTTCTTATTCTTTAAAAGGACTTTGAGTATGATGGTTCAAAGAATGAAAATTTATGTGTTTGGTAAATAGGAGTAAAAACAGAAGACCCCAGCATAAAGCATGTTGGAAAAGATGGAAAGAAAACCCCTTGAGCAAATGAAATAACAAGAAGTTCCCAGAGTCTTGCACTTTTTCTCATGCATGTCTGTTCTGCATCCACATGGGTTACTCTATTTACAATAAGGAGAATTTGGTTGGTTAAGTTTTTTATTTACTTTTAGTAAGAGTACACTTTTTATCATTCTTGCTTACGCGATTAGAGATCACATCCAAAGTTGGAACATGGAACTTGACGTGTGTGGTTTTTTTTCCTTCCTGAAGAACTTTTGTTATTCTGTGAGAATGAGGCATTTTAGGTACTGGGGGTGATCTCTACTAAAGGGTCCCTTATTCTTGATTCCTATTTGTCTCAGACTTTCCAACAGCATTTTCATTTTCTAAGATCTTAGTTTTATTATAGATTCATTCCCTAATTTTTGATTAATGACCTTGTATGTAATATACTTGTTACTTTGAGTGTTGCCTCTAGTTTATTTGTGGATGTATATATTTTTTAATTTATTAGATTTAGAAAATTTCTCTACCAAAAACCTAGGGGTTTTTTGGAAGTGAGTATTAAGCTAAGAGTTATGCTCAAATATATAAATTAAGAGTCCACACCTTTGCTTTTTTGTCCCAATGGGGACATCCCATTAAGTGTGCAGCACACAGCTTCCTCCCTGTAACCTGAGTGAAGAGGACCTGTTACAGAACCCACACTTCGGCAAGTTGCTGCTGAGTCTCTCACAACACGTGGATGAGAGTGGCTTAAGCCTTTCCCTGGCAAAGGAGCAGGCCCAGGTAAGAGTCCTGGGTGAGGGGATGATAAGAGGAAGGAAAAATCTTCGAGAGAGAGGTTCCTATCTGGGTTTTTATTTTTGGTTTTCTAGGCCTGGAAGGATGTTCGACTGCATAAGACAACATGGCTGAGGTCTGAGATTTTACAGAGAGTCATTCAAGAGCTGCTTGTGGACTACTATGTGAAGATACAAGACACAAATTTAACTGCTGAGGATAAAAAGGTGAGGCAGGAGAGATGAAGTAGGGGTTGGTTACCAGCTATAGGAATGACCAGACCAACTATGGCTTCATCTGATTATATGATCTTAGGGAAATAGCTCCATGTAATGGTTATTAAAAATAAACGAACTGTAGTTATGGGGAAAGGGGGTGGGTATGTTGTCAGAGTTTTGAAAAGAAAGCTTAGCAGGAGAAGGCAGTGTCAGCTGAGCAGTTATCGGAAGGAGATGACATGTTTGAGGACTTTGGAAATGTGTGAAGAGCTGGTTTGTGAGGATGGAAGGAGGGGATTGAGAGAAGTTTTATAGTAACCTCTTTTTGTTTTTATTTTCTCTCAGTTCCATGAGACCCTTGAACAGCGACTACTCGTAACTGAACTGAAACAGCTCTTAGGTCCCAGCCAGGAGAGAGCGATGCCTCCACTGCTGGGACTGGAGAAAGCGGACCTTCTGGAGCTCATGCCACCCTCAGAGGTTGGGGGCTGGCAGATACTGGGACCAAAGAGGCACAATGGCTTAACTTCTCCTGTATATTTAAACATCTTTTTTTGTTCAGCTTTATCATTTTTATAAAAATGATACACATTCATGGTGGTCAACTTAATAAGAAAAACATTACACAGAAGACAGTAAAAGCTGAAATATTACATCTAGAAATAAACACTGTATTATATATAGTTTGACATAAGTGGTATTATACCTTCCATGTTTATACAGAGAGTATAATCTGTTTTCATTTAATATGTTTTAGACTTTTTTCAAGTCTAATAAGATGATACTTCCTAAAGCACTCTTAGCACAGTGTCCACGCACACAGTTATCAGCTCGGGCCGGGAATCGAACCGGTGACCGTGTTGCTCAGAGCTTGCATTCTTGAGCGAGCTCTTTTTTTTGTTTAAAGATTTATTTTATTTTTATTTGGGAATTGGGGGAGAGGAACAGTGCTGGGGAATCGGGGGAAGGGGAACAGACAAGTTGCTGTCCTTTTGTTCTTCAATCTAGTTGTGGAGGACGTTGCTTCACTGGCCCATATTGGTATTATCATTGCGCTCTTCCCGGGTGAGGCAGATCGGTTGCCGGCCTCTGGACGGCCACTCACGGTGGCTCTTGGCAGCTCACACCGGCTGCCAGTCGCTTACGCTGGCTGCCGGCCACACACGGTAGCTTATGGCAGCCCACTGCAGCAGGGGCTGCAGCCTACACTGTCGCTGGTGACTCATGGCAGCCCAGCTCCAGGTTGAGCTGTTGTTCACCATCTTAGCTGTAGAGGGCAGTGTAACTGGCCCTCATGTGGGATCCGAACCGGGGCCCTGCTGCTCAGTGCTGGCATCCCAAACCAGCTCTTAACCAACTGAGCCACTCGGCCAGCCCCTGAATATTCTTATTATAGCATCAGTTTAAATCACTGACAGGATTCCATTATATGGATGTAGCATAATTTGTTTAACCTTATTGATGGATATTAATTTAAGGCTGTTTCCACTTTTTTCCTGTTAGAAACCACACTGATATAAACACGCTAGTTCATAAGTATCTTTGCCCTTGTATAATTATTTCCCAAGAGTTAGTGCTTAAAGTGGGATCACTGAGTCAAAGAATACACACATAGAACCTACTGGTACATATTGCCAAACTGCTCTCCAGAAAGGAGTTTCCAGTGTCTCTAGTTCCCCACGTTTTCATCAACCTGGGATCTTGACAGTCGTTTTATTCTTTGCTAATTTAATAGGCTATAAATGAATCTCCCTGATGTCTCTTAATGCATTTCCTTTGGTTATCATTAAGATTATTATCATGTATTCATTGGCTGGATCTTCCTAGTTCTGACAGTCTATTTGCATCTCTTTTTACTTCTGTGGCTGTAGGATTTCGTGTGGATGAGAGCTCGGCTCCCACTTGAAGTGGAGAAGCAGCTCAAGAAGAAATGTTTCACTCTGCTCTGCTACCATGATCCCAATTCAGGTAAGAGCTGGCTCTTTGTGTTCTGTTCACAGCTGGCCTTCAGGGCTCCTGGGCGGCTCTTCAAGAATTATGTATTTGAACTTTAGACTTCGGACAGAAGCTGGGAAGCGCTGGAGACATTGGAGATGCTTATTTGTGTGTTTCCTTGCTGGTAGAATAAAAACAAAGAATTTTGTAAGAACTCCTTTTATTCAGCAAGGTGCCAAGCTGGCGTGCCCGCTTGCCGCAGGGAAGGATGAGCTCATTCTTCTCAGGGGAATCAGAATGAAATAGGGAAGAAAGTTTCTCTTACCTTTATTTCTGTGATTTAAGAATTAAGGGCCAAATCTGGAATTAAAGGTAAGAGTAAAGAGAATTATGAGAACTGGGCCATTTCTAACAGGACATTAGAAGAAAACCTGGAAGAAGACAGAATTTGTAGGGCTAGATGTAGGATAGAAGCACCGAGAAATGGCCGTAAAAGGGCTGGAGCAATTCAGTCCTTTGTCTCTTTGCCCAGATTCAGATAGTGAAACTCTGAAGGCAGCAAAGGTATGGAAACTTGCAGAGGTCCTGGTGGGCGACAGGCATCAGTGCCAGGATGCCAAGAGCCAGCAGAAGGAGCAGATGGTGTTGCTGGAGAAGAAGAGTGCCACCTACTCTCAGGTTTGTCAGAGCAGTGGGATAGCCGCCTCTCCTTTACCCTGACCCCGCGGGCATCTTTGGGGAAGCCAGGGATTTTTCTTAGCTGCCTTTTCCCCTACTACATTTTCTTTACACCTTCTTTCTCCTGCCTCCTGGGAGCTCAGGTGCTTCTCCGCTGCCTCGCCTTGCTGCAGCGGCTTCTTCAGGAACACCGGCTGAAGACTCAGTCTGAGCTAGACCGCATCAATGCCCAGTACCTGGAGATCAAGTGCAGTGCCATGATCCTTAAGCTGAGGTGAGCTATGACCCCTTTGGATCTAACGGACTCTGTCTCATACATCACTCCCTCCAACCCTTGCCCTCATCTCTCTCCCTGCTGCCATGCCTTGCACCTTGTGGGTATCCTATAAATGACACACAGAGGCATTAGCCTTCAGATTACCTGAAAGCTTTCAACATGCTTGAGTCTTTTATTTAAAGCTTTCTGAAAATGGTGCTTGATTGTGAGACAAATTGCTCAGGTATTCAGAGTGACCCTGTGTATCCTGCCACTGCTTAGCCCATACTTTGACCATGGGCAGGTACTATGTCCCACTCTAACTCTGCTGCTGTCAGAGATCCTCAACTTGACATTTCTTTTCTTCCCTCTGTCAGGATGGAGGAGCTAAAGATTTTGTCTGATACTTACACTGCTGAGAAAGTGGAAGTTCATTGTCTTATTAGGTGAGAACTCCCAAGAGCTTGGTACAGCTATTCAGAGCTGGTTCCCATACTCTCGAGACTCACTCATTTTAACATGTTCCCATTCTTCTCTATTTTTATTCTGTCGTATCTTCTGTGCCCGGGTTCTTAGGGACCGTTTGGAGGGGGCCATTCGCCTACAAGAACAGGACATGGAGAAGTCCCAGCAGGTCCTGAACACCTATGAGGTTCTTGGGGAGGAGTTTGACAAGCTGGTAAAAGAGTACACCCAACTCAAGCAAGCAACTGAGAACAAGCACTGGGCACTCCAGGAGTTCAGCAAGGCCTACCACTGAGCTTTGGCTGGGCTAGAAGGCAGGGCCAGGAGGCCCGGCTTCTGCATAGGTGTTGCTGCCGCCTCTTCCTGGTAAAAGGACCACCTCTGCCTGGGGCCATCTTCACTCAAGGGAGTATGGAGACACTTGCTTGAAACACTGCAGTCATTTAGGCACCCTCCTGGTTTCTCTTCCTTGTTAAAATGACTGAGTCTCTTCTGGAAAATTTAGACGATTTATATAATTTTATGTACAGCTATTTTTCAGTGTATTATATTTGATTATCTCCTGAATAAATTGATAATATTGTGTCTTAGGATTTTAGTCATTTTACTTTGGGGAAAGATGGAAAAAGAACATCGGAGGTTGTGTGGGTAAGGAGCGGGCAACTGAGTGTATCCAAATAGAGACAGATCTACAATGCTTACACAAAAGGTGGGAGATAGACGTGCCAGCCTGCCCACATGGAGTCTTTGAGGCTTCATTCTTCCAGAGCAAGAGTAGATTAAAACTGGGCTTGCTCTTGAACTGTAATCTCCCGCGTAATGCTAGATGTTAAGGTGGGTAGGGAACTATTCTGTCACTGTGGCTCTCAGTGGGGGTATAATGATAAAGCAGCCAGGCATCCAGCTCGTTACAGGAAAGGGCACAAGCCTCTTGTGCTCCTGGTTCCCTCTGGTGTGGTTGGAGGGTTATTCTTTCTCCAAAAGCAGAGGGTGGGAGGAGACCACCCCTGAGGAACCAAGGTCCATGGTCTACTTAGCTTAGAACACATCAGGGCCCTGGCTGGTGTCAAAGTCAGGGACGGAAAGCAGAAGCAGAAGACTACCCTTATTTAAAATAGTCTACTCAGATTCTCAAACTGCTTTCCAGAGAGACTGTCGCAAGGCATTCTGCTAAGATCAAATAATGATGGTCTTGGATTGATTTACAGGAAAAATTAAGGTCTTTGACTCAACTTTAAATTCTTTTTAAATGGTGTTTACTCCCATTTATCTATAAGCAAATGTTGGCCCACATACATGAACAAATAGAAAATAGATTAATAGAAAAACAAACATTCAATATTGCTTAGTTCTATAGTTTTTCCCCCCCGACTTTTTTTGGGGAAAGTTTTCAAGCCTATAGAAAAGTTGAAAGAATAGGACCATACCACCAGTATACTCTTAACCTTGATTCAACAATTGCAACCATTTTGCTTTTCTCTCCCTCCTCCCCCTCTAGATAGATAAAGATATAGACTTTTTTTTCCAAACCATTTTATAGTAAGTTGCAGACATTATGACATTTCATTCCTTAAATACTTAAGCAGGCAACTCCTAAAAATAAGGGCACTCCCCTTTGTAATATAATTATTACACCTAAAAATTAATAATTTGATTATATCTATTATTAAGGTCATATTCAAGTTTCCCCAATTTTTTTCATGGTCTAGGGCCCAATAAAGTTTCATGTATTACATTAGGATGTTGGGTTTCTTTAATTTCTTTTAAAATAGAACATTCCTCCCATTTTTTTTTTTTTTTTATGAAATTGACTTTCTGAAAACTCAAGGTGGGATACCTTGTAGAATGTCCCATTGTCTAATTGTTTCCTGGGGTGGTTAATTTGTTCCTCTCCTGTTTTGTCCAGGATAGTAGCCATTAGCCACATGTGACTATTAAAATTCAAATTGAAGTTAATTAAAATGAAATAAAAATCTTCCCATAAGTTGGTGGTTACTGTATTTGACAGTACAGATATTATAAGTACATCATTGCTAAAAGTTCTGTTGGACAGTGCTATAAGCCTATATTGTCTGTAAACTGGAAGTAGGTCTACAGGCTTTATTAGATTCAGGGTGAACATTTTTGCAAGAATACTTAATAGATGACATTCCATACTTCACATTACATCACCCTGGAGCCAGAGCTACATCAGGTCAGAATGCCTCAATGTTAATTATACTGTGTTTGATTGCTCGGTTAAGGTGGTAACTGCCATATTGCTAATATATAGAAGTACATCTTCCCTTTGTAGTTAGTAGCATTTGGAAATGAATATCAAATATCTCAAAATAGTTCTTCCTGGTATTATGGCATTCAGCATTTCCTTATTTAATTAAGGGCTCAACTTGAACCATATTGGGTTTTGGTATTTGAAATAATAAGGACCAGTATATTAACTCTAGTTATTTCCTGAAAAAAATGAATTAATTACTGAGCTTACGAATGAAAGAAAATAAATATTTCACAGTTCCACGGTGGGTAGAAAGGGACACAAGGGGTGTTCGTTTTCGCCTGAAGGGAGCACCACAGTGGTTTGTCTTGGTTCTCTCATTCTTCACACTGACTGGAGAGGGAAGGTTCGCAGGAGGAGCCCTTCACATATGTGCTGTTGTCTATTGTGGAACAGGTGGAAAGGGAGACTTGGAGGGCAAGCAGAGGGGCTGTGTGACAGTGATTGCTGAGGGGTGGCATCTTGAACATCAACTGCCCTCTCCCCTTCACACTTTTCAGAAAAGGTTTACATTTACTGCCTCTCTTTCATTCTTTCACAGTCGTATCTCTTCACTAGTCTTTTACACCATCTAATCAAGGAGCAAGTCTTGTTGATTATTCCTACTTAATGAGAGGCAAAGTAAATCACATCCAGAACTTGAAATAGGATCGCTCTCCGTAAGGAAACTATGGGTGTCTCGGACAAATAAAATCTGCCCCTCACAGTAGTCAATGAAGGGTGAATAGCGGTAGTCTGAGGAGTGACCCTGTAGTTTTCCTCAGCCACCACAAATAGGAAACCCACCACCCCTTAGAGGCCAGCCTGATGCTCCCCGAAGGAGGGGAATCCCTGAGGTCCAGCTTCCCTGTGGGGTCCCTCACCCCATGAAGAATCTCTTAACATTACCCATCTTGAATGACCTGAACTAGGATTTGTTAAAGGAACTGACAGGTCGGGTCTCCTTTACCTTGAGACAGTGAAAATATAAGAGTTGACTCATCATGGATGAGATTAGCAATCTGTAGAAATAATTTACCCTAAAAGATGCTTTATATTTGAGTGGTTGAGGTCCAGCCAAAGTGGCTAAGTAAGTCCTGGTCTCAGAAAAGTACAACCAAAAATTAGACCTATATGTACTAAGTTTGGCTGAAGAAAGAACTTCTAGGGCAGGCTGAGTGGCACGTTGGTTAAGAGCTGGTTTGGGACACCAGCTCTGAGCATAAGGGCCCCGGTTCGGATGCCACATTAGGGCCAGTGACACTGTGCCTTCTACAGCTAAGATGTTGAACAACAGCTCGACCTGGGGCTGGGCTGCCGTGAGTCGCCCGTGTCGGTGCAGGCTGCAGCCCCTGCTGCAGTGGGCTGCCATGAGCTACCGTGAGTTGGCTGGAAGCCAGTGTGAGTGGCCTGCGTGAGCTGCCATGAGCCGCAGTGAGTGGTTGTCCAATAGCCGGTGAGTGGCTGCCTCACCCGGGAAGAGTGCAATGATAATACCAACATGGGCCAGTGAAGTGACACCCTCCACAACTAGACTGAAGAACAACAGGACAGCAACTTGTCTGTTCCCCTTCCCCTATTCCCCAACGCTGTTCCCCTCCCCCAATTCCCCAATAAAATCTTTTTTAAAAAAAAGAAAGAAAGAACTTGTAACCAAAGTAAATGATTAGCCCAGAGTTTAGAAAAGGGTTACCTAACCAGTAAGATCAGGGTTCTCCAGAGAAACAGAACCTATTATATGTATTTATATATAAAAAAATAAGATTTATTTTAAGGAATTGGTTCATGTGATTGTGGGGCTGGCAAGTCGAAAATTTGTATGCAGGCAGCAGGCTGGAAATTCAGAAGTAATGTAGCAGCCTTGAGGCAGAATTTCTCCAGGAAACCTATTTTTGCTCTTAAGGCCTTCAACTGATTGGATGAGACTCATTCACGTTATTAAGGGAACTCAAAGTCAACTGATTGTAGATATTAACCACATCTATAGAGAACATCATCGCTACAACACCTAGATCAGTGTTTGGTTAAATAACTGGGTATTATAGGCTAGCCAAGTTGACATACATAAAAGTAACCATCTCACAAATATTCTGGTTTTCATCCAGCCCTAAATCTGTTTGAAAGAGACACTGAACTGGAGATATGAGTTAAGTCACTGGAGAGGGGCTACACTGGGGGCAGGAACAAGGCATGGTTGCAAGCTCCATAAAACAAGAGCTTTGAAACTTTATTAGGTACCAGACATGATTTCTAAGCACATTTCACGTATTAAGTCACTTAATTATCACAGCAAACTTCTGAGGTAAGTACTATTATCATCTCCATGTTACAAATACAGAAGCGAAGTAAGGTGTGGAGAGATCAAGTGACTTGTGCAATGTCACAAAGCTTTAAGTTGAAGAGCCGGGATACAAATCCAAGCAGTCTTGGTCCAGAACCTACTGACCTGAGACCCTCTGAAGTCCTGGGTCCATGCGTACGCCCAAGCAACATCATGTTTACTGCTTTGATTACCCCTGACTCTAGGAAGGGGATGCCCCAGATGACTATCCCTGCAGCTGGAAAGTGCTGTTCTCCGTGTATAATACATTGGCAATGCCTTATAAATAGTGGTCTCTGGTGAGTGTTGCAGGAAGTTGGAGACATAGGAACCTGCTGACAAATGGAGGCGCTGGGCTTACAAAAATGGGGCCAGACCCTGAACCAGGAGACCTCACCAATGTCCTGCCACCACCCATGAGACCAGCCAGCGTAGCCAATGGGCATCTTCCCCTGCCATTGCCCCACCCTACTCAGGTCCTTATTTGGGGCCCTGCAAATTGTCCTAACTGCCCCTCCTCTCATCTTATAAACCTCTGCCAGGCCAATTTTTATGATGATTTCAATTTGCTTTTCATAAGCCTTTTGTAATTTTTACTTCATTTTGTCACTTCTCTGTTCACAATATTTCAGGTCTCATTGCATGTTAGCATAAATAAGACATTTTAATGAAAAATAGCTCTATTTTCCAAAACAAAAAAAAATAATGAGAAAGGTGACATTGTTTTATATTTTTGCAAATCTCTTTGATTGCTGGCTTAACAGAAGACAACCGAATTCTCATCTGCTTTCTGTGGTGATATGTGGCTATGGCTGAATAAAGAAAATCTGGCTTCACGCCAACATGTAGGAGATCTTGTACCTCACAAGGGTCTCGGGGTGACCTTGAGGTCCTTTGGCCACACTTTGGGAAACATTCTAAAAGAAAAAGCAATGAGTTGGGAATCAGAAGAACTGGATCCTTATCTGGCTCTTCCATTTAATTGAAGCATAACTGTTCAAGATAATTAACCTCAGCTT